GTATGCTCACATCTGATGATGTTGTACACCTTTTAATTGATATATGGGGAACCCTAAACCCTGAGTAGTTAAAATCATCGACGTATTTTGACTTTGCTAAAGTTCTCAAAGTTGATCATGGATCCTTATGTAGTTGACTTCGACAGAAATCAGTCCGCCCTTACTTTAGGATACATGCTACTAAGGAAATACTTTATCAAATACATCAATCAAAAAAAATCCAGCCTACCTTAGTATCACCAGGTTTACATATGGTGATAGAACAATCATAGATTAAAGTCCTTGAGGGACGTGGGTTTGACTAGATATGATACTAGTATGTTGTATCAGTATAATACAGGTATGTCCGTCCTAAATAAGTTTACTTGTAGTGGCATTTGGTGGGTGCACACCTCATGGCTGTCTCTTTACATATAAAAGGTATTTTGTTTTCATAAGAATGATGTAATGGAGTTGGTCATTACTTCCTCTAATTGTGAATCAACTAATGTAGCCATGGAGTATACGTCTCTCTCTCTCTCTCTCTCTCTCTCTCTCTAAATATATATATATATATATATATATATATATATATATATATATATGAAATATATGGATTAATTTTGCTAGGAAGTGGTTCCAAAATTTCTGCATCAGGAAGGGCAGTAAGAGATTCAACTTCTCATTGTAGGGTAGGCTTTCAGGAGTAACACCTTATTGGCTATGCTAAGGTAATGGAGCCAATTTTAAAGGACTGCGCTGAATCCTTTTAGAGGTCGTTGATCGTTTATTTTGTTAGGTTTGAAGCATTCTATTTCCATGTAGAAGTAATTGTTGTACTTTTCATCTACTATAGGAAAACAGTGCCTAAAATAATCCAAAGCGTTCAAAGAGCTTAAAAACTAATGGTATGATTGTTCGTCAATACTAAGCAAACTTTACTTGTCCATATATCTCTACTAAAAATATGTGTAAAATACAAGTTTGTAAAAGGTAGAAAATTATATAAGTTACATGGACGATATAACATACCAAGAAAGTAAAACTTTAGGGTTCCATATTTCCCTCGTTAGAATCTCAATGTTGTCTTTAAAAAATCTGCAATCTCAATTGTTTCTTATGACAGGTTTTCATACATTGTTGAGTAGCAGTGATTGTAACATTCATACAAGAAGACATCACGAAACTCTTTACCTTCTGATAGTCGTTCTCCTCTTCCCTCAATGTCCATGTCCTAGGTCACTATGGTAGAAGTAATTCAGTAGCCGTAGCCACAAAAATCCACGATGAACTGCCCGACTAATTTTCCCTTCTTCCTCTTTACTTTTTCAATCTTATGAATCTCTGACAGATTTTATGAATCCTCAATGATGATTTAAGGGATGAAATAGTTTCCATCAACATCAATCAAAAAGATTGGAAAGTTCATTAGAACTGTCCAAATAAATTCCAAACATGCGATAAAAATCAACAATTAATTTAAATCCAACCATTACACATCAATCATAATTTTCCACTAACAAAATCATAAACGAGCACATCCATAGCATGTTTCTCAAGATCTATCCACGATCAGTTCTTATACATATTGAACCTCAATAGAATACCAAACAGTAACTTAGCATGATAGATGGCTTGTACTTGCTCGGTTACTGTTTCAGAGTCACCACAATTTCAAAGAGAGTAGAAATCATTTGAATTTGAAGATGTATAAGAATTAATCATGGATGGATTTCTAGAAACATGCGATAGATGTGGTCATTTTAGCTTTTGTTAGTAGAAAAGTATATTGAGATGAAATGGAATTATTTAAATTAATTGTTTATTTTTATCGCATGTTTGGGATTGTTCTGGACACTGGGAACAAACTTCCAATCTGTTGGATTGATATCGATGGTGACTATTTTATCCCCAAAATATTCATTGAGGATTTAGAAAATATGTTGGAGATTCATGATATCGAAAGAGGAAAGAAGAAGAAGGGAAGAATGGAAAATGAATTGAGCAGTTCATCGCGGATTTTTGTGGCTATGAATACTGAATTGCTTCTACCAAAGTGGCGTAGGATATGTCTAATAATGAAACTGAAGAAAGACTATCAAAAGGTAATGGGTTTCGTGATGTCGTCTTGTATGACAGTTAACATCACTGCTACTCATCAGTGTATGAAAATTGGTCCTAGGGAACAAGAGCAATTGAAGATTTTTAAAGACAACATGGAGATTGTAACAAGGAACAGAGCGGACTATAAAGTTTTACTTGCTTGGTATGGGAAATCGTCCAAGAAACACAAATATTATGATAACTTTTACAAACTTGTATTTTACTATTATTATTGAGTCATTTCATTTTTTTGTAAAAATTTTCTGCAAAGCTAATGATTCAACATCATAACGCAACCAAATAACTATTCCAATTTGTGTTACTTTTGCCTTTTTTCGTATTTTTACACCATATCGAAGCTCTAGTGCAATTGTTTCTGTTTAAACATAGGTACAGGTTTAATTTGACCCAGCTAGTCCCCAGGTCATTACCAGTAAGCCAAACCAACATGACAATCCCCAGGATGTTTCTAGCTTCAATAATGTACACACCTTGTTATTTATTTTACTCATTTTTACTTTGGTAGACAAATTCAATCTTTGCCTTACTTGCATATATTTTGACCGGTAAAGAGACTCTCATGTAGAAAACTTTGTATTTCTTCAATGGATCTGAAAACTATATCATTGTTACGTTTCTATTTATTTATCTCAATACTCTAAGAAGTCTACGACAATCAAAAAGTTCTAAATTCCATTAAAAATCTTTTGTAGTATTAATGATTCAGTCTCCAATATTGCCGGTAAGAATTGATGTATTAAATAGTACTCCAGTCCAGTTCGCAAAGCGATTGCCTTAGATAATAAACAGGAAGCCCTCCAGTTCTCTCTTCATCATTCAAAATAATATTGAAGTCACCACCTATAAGCCAAGGTTACCTCATATTTTGACTAACTGAATAAATATCATCACACAAACTTAGTGTTTCATGTGCTGAATACTTAGCATAATTGATAGTTAGTATTCATTTTTTTCATTTTTATGCACTAAATTATCATACCACAAGTCACTATTTGTTTTGTTGGATTCAGCAGTTCCCATCCCTGCATTTTATAATGTTTGTTGCTGATTTTGTTGTTGTTGTTGCTCTTGGTTTTTATCACTACAGACAACCACATGTATAGCCAAATAGCATTAATATGTCTATTCCATAGTAACCCAATCTTAAATCCGCCCTTCACATTACATTGTTTGGGAATTTGAATTTCGCACATCATCCATCTCTGGCCACCCATAGAAAAACTTACCTAACGCTGCATATTGTAAGTGTTCGATGGTGTTCATCCGCCTAACCTAATCTTCAATCCTTGCTATTCTTAATATACTTACGAAGGTTGTTTCATCGAAATAAGCATAACAGTAACAAGTTTATGTTTTGAGATAGATTCATTGTATTAGGTATATGAAGGTTAACATATTTGCCTCCTTGAGCAGTTGATAAACTTTTATGTTCGTCGGGATTATCCTTTGTTTCACTATCTTGGTTTCTAATGGGAATTGAATTTGAATTGATGGATATTTGCTGGCCAGTCGCCAAAGCAGGCTGACCACTGACCAATATGTCCATGATCAATAAAAAATTTCTTGTAGCAAGGAAAATTTTTAAGTTCACCTTTCGTTGCCACTCAACATCTTCTCTATCTTTTCACTAAAAATTCATGATATGACAAAATATTGTAACTTTTTTTCTTTTTAATGTCTTGTAAAAAACTAATTATTCTTCTCTATAATTGAAAAGATGAGAGTGTTTTGCAGTGTTGGCATTCATGTCCAATAAATGATGAAAAACATGAAAATTACTTATGCAGGGCGATAGACAGGTTCAAACATAAGAAAATCAATATCTAAATACCTCTACAAGGATTTAGCATCAGACCTTTACAATTGGCTCAACAACCTCACCATAATAAAGAAGGTGTTGCTCTTGCCAGTACCCTACAACGAGCAGCTGAATCTCTTACTACTTTTCCTGATGCAGAAATTTGCAACCACTTCCCCACATAGTTATATACTCAGGGGCACGTGCGTTGCACGTGTAAGCTATGGTAAGTAATATCATTCTATATGATTTTTTTTGTAAATCAGTGTTTTGATAATTGGGTGAATTAATATTGATGAAGTAGAAGCGTACATTGTGTTTATTAGTCTTTTAATGATTACATGAGGTATTAGTGATGTTGTATAGTGAAAAAGATTTAACGCATTTAATAATAAATAGGAACAATAACATGCTGTTAATATGATTTGTTTAAACAGATGTATGAAAGTATGGTTAATTGTTGATAATATAATATTTAAACATTATAATAGAATATAATGTTAATAAAGCTGATAATAGTAATGAAAGAAATATTCCGAAAATGACCCTAACGCATTGAAGATGTGGGTCATTAAAGAATCCATTATGTTTGCATAGGTTCTTTTGCGTCTTCTAAACCTATGATTTGAAGCAATGTAATAGTGTTAGTATATAGTATCTGTAAATATTTAATTATATGTGTTAGAATGACCATATATGAAAATGGGGTTATCATACCTAAAACTTCCTTATAGACGATGTTCTTTGTGTACGTTCCTTTTTTACGTTTGGGTTGCTCTGTTAGGAAAAGTAATTTTGTTGTGGACATATATATCCCTCTTGATAGCGCCACGTACAATTGACCACGTGAGAAAACATGTTGGGGAAAATACAAACAAACATTGTGAATCGTTTGACCTTGAGCTTTATTTATAGTGATTGCAAAACAAAGGCGTACATACAATTGCTTTCGAATGAATTTAAATGGATATCCTTCATATTGTGGTTGTGATAGTTGTATTCTTGGAAGAAACACATAATTTGTTGCAGAATGACCACTTGATATTTCTGCATGCAGGTCATTTTGAGAGAAACCTTGACATATCATTCGTCTGCCATTTCATAAGCCACTTGAAGGGTCCAAATTCCTTAGCAACATGATCGGTACATTTTCCTTCAATTCTAACCTGCATTAAATAAGATATGTCAAAATCTATCCACTTTTTTATTTTTTTCGCCTCTTGTAAGTTGTAATGTATTATGTTCAATACCTATGTAGTGGGAGACCGTTTGTTGTTAAAGTATTTAGATATTCTTCTTGGTAATAGTTGTTGGTGTCATGTTCTGCTGAGTCAAAGCCATTGAATATCTTGCTTTCACCTGGGAATTGAGATATTAACTTGTTGTTAATTTTATCAACATGGTCATTTCTGCTTGCTAAAATAGCTCTTTCAGTGACAGATTTTGCTGTAGCAGCATTTTCTTGCATGTTTTGAAATATCTCTTTTATTGTGAATTCTTCTTGAATTTCATCCTGGGAATGTTTGATTGTTAATTGTTCTAGGAGGACTAAATTTTCTCTTATTGTTGGTTCATCACCGTTACCCACTCGAAGTAAGAACTCACTGAATGTTGAATCTATTCTTGCCCTCATATTTCTAGTAAATTGAATATTCTCCATCAAAGGCTAGAGATATGATTTGACCAATCTTGCATTTCAAATTTCTGCTCGAGTTGATTTTGGAACTAGTGGTAACACCTGCCAAAAATCTCCTCTAAAAACCATGAATTTTCCGCCGAATGGTTTATCGATGTCCATTATGTCTCTGAAGCTCCTGTCAATCGTTTCTATTGTTTGGTGTTTGGCCATTGGTGCTTTATCCCATATAATCACTTTTGCTTTTCTAATCAATTTGGCAGCACCACTTTTCTTTGACATGTTTATCATAGTTGATTCACTTGTTTGAAGAGGGATCTTAAACCTTGAATGTGATGTACGTCGTCCTGGTAAGATTGAAGCAGCTACGCCACTGGTTGCTGTTGCCAAACCTATCATACCTCTTGATCTAACATTGTTAAGTAATGCATAGTATAGCTATGTTTTTCCAGTTCCCCAGGTCAATCCACAGAAAAATATTGCAGTTGTTCCAGCATCGATTTTTTGCATTATTTTTGTAAAAGCGTGATGTTGTTCTGGATTTAATTGTGACTGTGCATCAAAATCTTCTGGTGGTATCTGCACGTACATTTCTTCATTTATTTCTCTACATTCTGATGAACCAACTTCGAGGAAATTTTGATCTAGTTGAGGAATCTCATATATGTCTATGCTTTTGCCAATACTTTGCAAGCAATTATTAATACTATTCAGAGTAGAGTGTAATATAGTATTGTGTGAATTGCCATATATCCTGCTGAAGTCCTCTTACATAACCTCATAATAAGTATCCTAGAGTTTTCTAATATCCGTGGGGTTACAATGAACCAAAATTGTAGCAAACAAACTTCTAAGAGCGAATGGCATTTCGAAGACAACAAACTCTCTCATACATTCTGATATGCTGTTGTCGGACTCAGTTAACCCTATTTCTTTGGCTGCTTCTTTGAATGTCTGACATTGCTTGCCATTGACAGTGAGTAAGTCGTTCAATGACAATGTTCCCCTTACATGGTTAAGTAACAATAACTCATATTATATTTCCCCTTCTCAAGGATTAGCTGTGCAATATAATCAATATGTACTAATTAATAAGTTTAAAAATTATCAATGTGTATGATTTTATATCTTACTACATTCAGCTAACCGATTGCAGTGCGACCAATTACATATCTTTTTTTCCTTTTTGTACAAGTCTTTACCTTTGAATTCCAAACATAATACTTTGGGAATTCTCTATAAAGATATGTTTTTTCTTTAGAGTCAATTGAGCACATTCTGAAATATTCGGTCGACATTGTTTGCTTGACACTATCCCAGGCGATGACATTTTTTAATTTTTGATTTTTCCAGTAAAACACGATGATTTTGTTTTGAGTTAGTATTTGTATTTGATAATTTTTATTAGTTTTTTAAGTAAATGTGTATTATAATGCATTAATATGTGTACCTGAATGTTTTTCTGGAAGATGTAGTTGAAGGTTGATGACTACAGGTTCCATTTCAGTCAAGTTGAAATTCATATATTCTCCATATTACTTCAGGCAGTGAGACCCATCGCGCATCTTGAAATGTTTGTATATCGTCAATAACATTTTCACCATTATCAGACTGAACATAAACTGCACACCGATCATGTCCTTTATATATATACTTGTATAGATACTTTATTGCTTTGACTTCTGAGCAAACCTTAACATTAATGTGACAATTGTATCTTGTAAGCAGATGAGGGCTATAAGGTACTACCCATTTATTTGTCATATGCATTCCACGAACAATCTCTATTCTTGCATCTATTATTCTTTTATAAATTGGATATCCATCCTTTGCTTGGATTGATTTGTTGTTGTATGGCCTTGGATGATAATATTTACACTGTCCATTTTGCATGCATGTGTTTGTTGGATGTTTGTTTCCATATGGACCATGCATAAGCTGTTTGAGTGCTAATTTATGCAATATAAGTTACTCATATTTATCTGGAATATCTACCGAGATAAACCTATCGTACTGATCTCCTGATTAGATGTTGTGCCCTTCTTTTAATATGAGAAGTAGGTGTATGTATGTTAGTCCCTGTTTATGAAATTCTACCACAAATACAAAAGCAACAACAATTCCAAATATTTCTTTCTTGAAATTTTTGTCTTGTAGATCCTGCAACTTAGCTCTGAATATTCTTGTTACCAAGTAAGGTCAATCTTGAGGAGTTTGCCCACGGAGCAATTCTTGTTGGATTTCAATCCAGTTAGGATTGCATGTCATTGTTATAAATAGATTTGGCCTACCAAAATGTTGTACGAAAGTCATTGCATCCATATAGAGTTTTTTCATATCTCGTGCCCACCCAATAAATGATGAAGGAAGTAGTATTCTTTGCCCAATTCTATCTCCCATGCATTCTCCCGAGCTGACACTATAAAAAGTACCTTGATAAACCTCTCTTTTAAAATTTGATTGTTCCTTTTTTAAATATTCTAGCCTTGTTCTTTCCAATTTTATGTACATGTCAACCACAAATTATTGTTGTAATCTTCCACATAGTAGTAATACTGACCTCTCTGTTTCTCATAGTTGTAGCTTATAACAATAGTACTCTCTGCAAGAAATATTTCCCTTTGTCTCACGGTGGACATCTACAATTTCAAGAAATCATATGAATATAATTTTGACTTTATGTTGGTTATCATATTGGTATAGTAGAAAAATATATTTTTCTTATATTTGTATTTTATACGCCTTTGGTAGTATTATTTTATATCGTGTATGTGGTTTTTATCAGTTGCTAACTTGTGAAGAACATGACTATATTTTATCTATAAGAGGGCATAATGTAATATATTTTACCTTGATCCTCTTTGTCTAATATTTCATCAGCTGATATGAAAGTTGAAATATCATTGACTATAGGTGGTGAGTGAGCACTTCTTTTTTGAGGCAGTCTTTTGCTCCGTTTTCTTATTCCTTGATTCCATCCACCTTCACCTTTTGGTAATAACAAAGGATATTAAAGAGGTCATAACAACCAAAATAGTGTTTTACTCTATGTTTGTACCCTGAGTGCTCATGCACAATTTTTTCTCGATCAAAAGGTATGTTTGGATTGTTTCCATCGATCCAAATTGCTGCTACTTGACTTATCGAGGGTCTATTGTCCACTCATTGATCCAAAGAGGCATTTGCAGCAATACGAAGTTTAAAATTGTGGAAACTTGTTTGGTTTTTTAATTGGCAGAAATATTTGTGCATATGGGTTACTCTCCATTACCTATTTGATTTTTGTGGCAATATGGTCTGAAAGAATTCCTTCATTCACCTTTGATAGCCTGTTGGTCAATTGTTTGTCTGTATCAAAGAAGTTTAGTTGGAAGTTACATGGATTTTTATCACGTGGTACCAACGATGGTAGATCGTGATAAATTTTACATTGTACCCTGAATGTGTATACTCCTTTTTTTTGCAGATGCTAGTATCTTATCCATGTTAACACCAAAAGATGTAAAATCAAAGATTCTATTATATGCACGAATATTTTTGCGAAATTCTACCGCGTCTGGAGTAGATGCCACAAACATTTCATATAGTTCTATTGGTGCTTCAGTTTTTGCCAATTTAATATATCCTCTTGCACAACAGAATGCTGGAGGTTCATGTTCTAATCTTTTTGCAGCACAATAAATACATTTTGGGACGGCTTTCAGTTTTACTGGTAGAAGGAATGTTTTTTCCTTTATCACCTTCTTGATTTGGCATGAAAGGAGTGGTGATATTTGTATCACCTGTGAAGTGAAGTGAATAGAAGGGTTAAATTTAATTTTGAATTGTGATAAGTACTTAACATATTAGATTTACCTTGATGTTGGTTGTGTGTCATTGTTGATTTGTTGGTGATAAAATTTGGATTGTTGTTGTGACACTTATCTTATCTCTTCCTATTAAGCATATGTAATTTAGCAGTGATCTAAAACATAACAGAATCATTAATGGCAATTGTAGTCATATATTTGACATATATAGGAAAAAACATCTATTATAGGGTAGGATGTATGAAAAGTTTTTTTATGTACGAGGATATACATTGCAGCAGAAGATTGTTGTTGATCGTTTTTGAAGTAATAAATTTCATACATTGAATGTTTAGTGAAGCAGTTAAAAAAATTCATTTATATAGGAAAGTAAGATAAAAATTAAAGTGATGATAGGTGAAGTTGCTCGGTGAAAAAAGGTAAGTTGTTTTTAAATATTAGGGAGATAATAAGCATTGGGAGATAAAAATAAGGAAATTTTAAATCAACTATATATGAATTTTTTTCCTCTTTGATCTCCTTTTCCATCTGATAGGGCATGATGTTTTTTACTTTAACCTTCCCCGTCCTTTTTCTTTGTAGTTTAATTAGTGGGGCTTCGTCATCACTTTCATCTAGTACATTCTGTTTTTCTACCTCATGTATCCTCACTTTCTGTGAATTATCATCTGCAATGAATTGCTTAATGTTGTTAGTCCTCTGGCATGTATTTGTTTTTTGTGGATTTTCAATGTCAGTTTCAACTGCTTCAATATCTTTTTCAACATGAGGTATGCCTGCAACTATTTTTTTTATTTTTTTATCATCACTTAGTATCTTCTTCCTCTTGCTTCTTTGTTTTGTAATTGGCATTTTAACCTTGGTTTGATCTGGTGGTAGTTTTTTGGAAACCTCATGTATCTCCATAGCAATCACATCAATGTTTGTATCAACAGCTAGGAATTTACGGTCAATCTTAACAAGGATTTTGAATTCTTTCCCCTTAATCAATACAATCTGGCCATAGTATGGTGATTCTTCTTTCTGTGGAATATGAAAACATATATATTAGCCTTACAATTGAAATAGGGTAAAGTTATTTATACATGCTAATATTTCTTAGAGTAAGTGATTTACCTTTTCAGATATAGAGAGAACATACTCTTTTACGTTACAACCAAAATAGTATTTGGCAGCTTAAACATTGTA